AATTTGTTAAATGCTCTAAGAAAATTGGGGACCTGGTGCACCTTAGATCCAGGGATCCAGAAATAGTTGAGTTGATCATCCTTTCTTTTTCCAGATGTGTGTTTGTTTATGTAGTTCATGTTCATCATTATTGTTGTACCTGTGGAGGTCCTTTTGTAGCAGTAAACTCAGACGACTTATTGTCCCTTTCCCCACCTCACTCATACTACAGTCCCACCTGTGCCAGTAGCACTGAGGGCCCAAGAGATGCCCCTGCCTTCCTTTCCAAGCTGATGCCCAGTTGGGCCATGATCAGATAGTCATCCTTCACTGTTACCAATTCTGAGAAAACAGAAGGGAGCAGGAGTGATCAAGTAATCAGTGGATTTAAAGAATATCAAGATATAGAACCCCCAAAGATAATCTGTGAAATTTTCAATTTTGTTGCTGAAGTGACAGAAGGAAAGCTGTCTTAATTCTCAGCTTACATCCAGCAAAAATTCATCCTCCAAAAGGAAATGCAGTACCTGCCCATGAGGAGTACCTGCATAATCCAATGCTGAACCTTGCCAGCCTAAGATGAGGCCTGGTCATAGCACAGGGAGCCAGGGAAGCCTTTGCCCTTCACTGGCTGAGGGGGATAAGCTCCAAACTTACCCACACATGGTGTCCAGGGCTCACTGCACATTTGCTGAGTGCAGAAACACCCAGCAAAACAAAGCTGTTAGTGGGAAAAACTGTTTCTTTGAAATGTGATTGTCACATGTCAGTGTCTGAACACTTAATTAAGATTTCAGCTGCTTTGAGAGTTTTTATATTGTGCAACTCAGTAGTAGATATGTCATTGTTCCCCAGATCCTCCTAGATTTCATGCAGCAGAAAATATTGCTGAAGGTGTTTGATCAGAAAGATGCACATGATTTGATTGGTACTGAACCAAAATTTTATAGAGATAGAGGTTTCCCTAAGCCTGAGCACTGTCTGGAAATGCTGGCAGTCCGTTTGCAGAGCAAGGCCCTCAGAGTTCATGTCCCACAAAGAAGAAGGAGCCACACATACTGCCTTAAATTTTGATTCTGCCAGTTGATTATACAGTTAATATTTCTGTGGTACATTAGAAGTTACAAATTTTCGTTACTACCAACTTGGTTCCATTTCTGAGAATCTTCTGCATTAGTAACAGACTACAGAAAACAAGACCAGGGAGAAAAGAAAAAACAGAGAAGAGATGTTTGTTCTTCAGATGAAGGCAAAGTGCCATTTTTGGTGAGGTGACAGGATCAGTGTGCACTACATTAAGTCTGGCCTCTCTTCTTGCTCTCCTTATATGAAGTTGGTATTCCCTGGAGAGGCTGGAAAGTAAAAAGAATTGGTAATGTACCTCTGATATGGATTTGAAGAAATAGAGTTATTTTGCTTGAAGAAAAAAGCTTTTGATTTTGATTGGTTGTAAGACAGCATACAATTAAATGAGCTTAGAATGGTGCAGGGGAGACTTTAAATGGAGCACTTTCCCCAGTGGACAGACAGTGAGCTCAGGGACCACAGGAACTTTGTTCTGAACTCCATCGATGGGGTCTGCATGGCGCTCAGCCCTAAATAGTTGCATAGGGATTGTGTGTTGGCTGAGTAACAAAGTGTATGGCCACATCCAAGGAAGAGCTTCCTGCTAGTGTAGGATTGTAATCAAACAGCAGTTATGGGAAGAGGAGGTGTGATCATTTGTGATCTTGTAAATACAAGAGAACAGGAGGAGCAGCTTTACTAACGTAAGCAGCCTTCTTTGATGACTTTTAAACCTTTTCTCCTGATCCATTTTCTGGTGAATTAGGCCTTAGATACTGCCATCTTTTCCTCTTTTTCTTTGTTTCAGTCTTTTATTCTAGTTTAAAACTTTAGCATAGGAAAATTGAGAACAGTGAGTTAAGGCAGATGTTAGATGTTGAATAAAACTGCATATGAAGCTTTATTTTGCAATCACACTTAAGTACCAGAAAGAAAAAATGTGAACACTTGAAGACATGATAATGGATCCTTTATAGATATTTTGGGTGCTGTATAATTGGTTGGCTTCTGTAATTTGGACATACATGATTTTATGAAATAAAAGTTTATTAAAGATTATTCCGTTACAAATTCTGTTTTCTTCAGTGGTAGTTTTTTCTTTTTTCTTTTTTTTTTTCAGTTTCATTGAGTCATGAGATTTTGATGCCTTGGAGATGATTTTATAGTATTATTTCTGCACAGACCATGAGTTTATAAAAATTGGGTAATTTTTAAAATATAATTACTGTATGTTTTAGTGATAAACACAAGTTTATGGGAGCTCTTGTCCCTGTTAATCCTTCTTATGTTAGAAGTTAAAAAACATAGACCAGAAATAATGTTGCAAAAAATAAATGTGAAATTAAGACAGCTGTTTCCTGCCTGCAGATGACGAGGATGGTATGGACTGCATGGACAATGAGAGGCGGCCACATTTCCCTCAGTTCTCCTACTCTGCAAGTGGACGAGAATAAGTCTTTCATTCTGCAACTTCACTGTCATCGTAGATTTTATTACTGAAAATGATTCCTGGGCATCATCACCAGTCCTAGCTCTTACAGATAGCAGGGGCTTCTCCGACATCCCAGACCAGCCAAGGGTCTTCACCCCTCGCCATCTTTCACTCACATGAAAACACGTATATACACAAACACACTCCAGTTTTTGTTTTTGCATGAAATTGTATCTCAGTCTAAGGTCTCATGCTGTTGCTGCTACTGTCTTACTATTATAGCAACTTTAAGAAGTAATTTTACAATCTTTGGAAGTCATGAGCCCACCATTGTTCATTTGTGCACCAGTTGTCATCTTTTAATCTATTAGTTTTTGTTTTTCCCCAGCATTGAAGGCTAAATGAGATACACTGATTCTAGGTACATTTTTTAACTTTCTAGAAGATAAATCAAAAACTAATTAGACTAAGAAGAATCTAGTTTATATTTCAAAACAAGCAATTGTGGAAGGATGGTGATGTGCATATGCACAAATTTAGTCAAGGATGTCCAATCAGTGCATAAAGTAAGTCTATATTCACTAAGGTTTGGCTGGAATTTATTAGGAAGCAATTGAGAGAGGAGTGAGTAACTATTTTATATACATATATATATATGTGTATGTATGTATACACACATATGTATATATACACATATATACATATATGTATGTGTATGTGTGTGTGTGTGTGTGTGTGTATATATATATTTATATATATATGTATATATTTTTTTAAATTCTTTTTGGATACTACAGAGGAAGCCTGGTATCACACATGGACATCCAGACTTCATGGGCAATCATAGGCAAATGGACATTGTTCTACCAAGAAATGAAGCATATGCACAAAATCAAAGTCACTTAAATGGTATCATGATACACTTTGTGCCAGAGGGCATTTTTCCCTGTGCTCGGCAACCCTTTTTCCTTCTTGATATTTATCACCTCTGATGGCTGAAGAATGTAGACAGGTATAATGATCCTGCTTTCACCAAAATTTGTATACCAAGGTAAACAAGTGTTTGCCTTATTAGTTTTAATTTTTTACTTTCAGTTCTAGGTGAAATAGCTTTTTCTCAGATGTTACAACTTTGAATGTCCTTTTATGGTTTTGTTTATATTGCAGTAGTATTTATTTTTTAGTGATGAGAATTGTATGTCATGTTAGCAAATGCAGCTCCAACTTACATGAAATAGACTTACTGCAGTTTCTTTTGACCCATGTGCAAGAAACATACACATCGATGAGAATCATGCACTTTTCCTCCTATGTAAAAAAAAAAATTGATAAGGTTCTGAAATTGTACAGATTGATTAGAATTTGGCTTTGGGAGAAGAGATGCTATCATTTAACCCCGTGGTGCTGAAAATTTAAAAAAAATCCCCAAATGTCTGTGCCCAAGGGGTTAATGAAACAAATAGATACTGATGTTTTCTCACTTGAGAACTGAAATGTTAGGATGGCCTGGCAGCATAACATAATGAAGAAAATTGAGACCTGAATGATGATAAGAAATGAACTTTACTTTGAAAAATGAACGTATTGCAAGTATTTATGAAGTAGGCAGTAAAGGATAAGAACCTGGTGTGTTTATTCTGATCAAGGTACATTTATCACTGAATTAAGCCATCAGGGAAAACAAAATGAAACAAAAAAGAACACCTCTAGCTTTTCTTTTTCTGTAAATACTCATGTCTCCAAATCCCAACATTTTTCACTGAGAGGAGACATGTATGCAAACCTCATCTTTCTCCTTCATTAATGATGATCTTCAGATTAAACCCTTTGGTGCTAGGAGCTGACATTTTCCAAAGCAGCCTATGAAGTCCAAGGGCAGGGTCCCTTCTTACAGCAAGTGGGAGGGCATCCCACCCCATGGAGTGATTATGGAAATGTGTTCTAGATAAACTGACAGCTCCCAAATGGAAGACTACAGCATGACGTAGTATTATGACTGCATTGTATGAAAGAGCAAGTGACTTTCTAAGTAGGATGAATCATGTTCATATGCAGATGTCTTAGCCTCTCAACGCTGGAAGTGTGGATTTATAGCTCTTAAGCCACTGCTGGCGGTGGGTGGGCCACTGGGACTGATGGGGTTAAAGGGCATTCTACTAAGGCAGCTAAGACATATTCAGACATAGATTTTATCCTAATTTTTCATATTTCTACTTGAGTCAAGTTCATACTTAATATTAAGTAGGAAGTTACAGTAAGTAGTAGTTCATTCTTATTTACATCTATAGCTTAATTATTTTTTTTTTCTACTGGGAATTATATTGAATGTTCCACATTGAAAAGAAAGTAGACCAGAAGGTTTGTCCTTTAAGTTGTCTTGCATCCAATATATAAGAAAGAAACAGGTGAGAGGAAAAGAAGGAAGCTGAAACTAGCTGATGTTCAGAGCATTTGCTGCTTCAGAGAGAAAGTATGACACTGTACACTAAGCACATAGCTTTTGTTTTGTTTTTTCTCCCCCAAATCTTAAGATGATTTCCATGACATTGGCCAAGGATACTTCCTAAAGATTAATGACGGCTCTGATAATGTTCCAGGCTGGCCACTGCTCTCACAGATGGCCCTCAGTCTTCAGCCATGTGCAGGGCTCAGTCATCCCCTTCTTGGCTCCATCAGTGTCAAACGAGGTGTGTTCTTGGCTTTGATTTCTAGGATCCCTTCCTTTTACTCCCAGATCTCAAGTCAGCTGGCATGGAGGCATGATGAAACACAGAAAGGTGTACAGAGGGAGACAATGAAACTTCCCTGTGTTGCCCATAGTTGTAGTTTGGGATTCTGGCAGGCAGGACAGCCTGACACCTAAAATCATCCTGTTGGAACTTTGTGAACTCCAGCTCATACTGTCATGAAGTTGACCCCGTGTCATAATGCAGCCATCTTGGAGGAAATTGGCTACTTCTGCTTGGATTGTTGGCAGGGTTGCTCACAGCTTTGCTTTCTATACTAATTACATAGCATTATTCCAGTATTGTTTTCCATTTCCTGTACCTGATTTCCGGCTTCTTAAAGCTGACTGTTCTTGCAGGGGCCACTTGCTTCTCCTAGAGTACAAAAGTAAGGGCCTTCCTTACTAACTGCAGGGTCTATATACTACACCTCAATGTACACACTTTGCTGCTACCGTTTGTACTGTCTACAGTAGAATTTCCTTATCTTGCTCCTGGTAGTGCATTACAGGCAAGCATGAAATGTAAAGTATTTATTTAAATAAAAAGAAAACCTCTAAATTGGTAATTGAATTACCTCCCTGTAGCTTTATAGTTTGTGACATTTCTTGACCTTGCTAGTTCTTTCATTAGATCCGCGCAAGATCTAGTCATCTGGTTAAGGATTTTAAGCAGACGCAACTATGAACCCAAGAAACTGTATTACTATTACTGTTGGTCATACTAAAACTGTTTATTTCTTTAAGTATATGACCCACAAGGATGTGAAATAACTACAAGAAACTGTTTTTGTACACTGTACATCCTTAGTATTTTTACACGTATATGATAGGGATGCACATTATTTTCCTTCGTACAGACAGCTTAAATAAAGCACTATGTCAATCTGCTACTTCTCTGTTTGTTGTTGTTGGATGTGGTTCTGTAATCTCAGAAAATTAATATTCTTTTCTGAAAGAAAAATATAATAGCCCCTCACCTGGTATTAACCTACTCTTTATAAGATGTGACAGGAAACTATGTAAATTCCTCTTATCTCTGAACACAACACAGGGAATTATCTTTCCTTCAGTAAGATGGCAATAGTGCAGTTGTATAAACTTTGATGAAGGCTTCCAAAGGGGAGATGCTGGCCTTTCAGCACTGGGTTTACGACAGACCTGTGAAGCCAGGGGTGGAAGAGGGCCAGGCCATGGGGATTTATTCAGACCCTGATAATCTTCACAATAAATGGTTTGAATTTGAATTTTTAGGGAGTGTAGTTCATCAGTAATGTCTTCCTGATAATGTACTGCTCTGCATACTACTTTCTTAGGAGTGTAATCTTAGTACTTCATGGCAATTAATGAACTTAGATGTGGGTCCTAGATGGATAGGATGGCTGGACTACAATCTGATTTATGTTGAATCATTGCAGATGGGGCCTTTTTCTGATTTTACCTCATAAAACTACTATTGTAGAACTTGGCTTTGCTCCTGTGACTCAGCCAGAGAGAGGAAAAGCTTAGGGTCCAGAGTCAGGCATGTAGGTGTATGTCACACAGCCAAATTTGGGGGCATTCTTATATGTGCTCTTCTCTCAGAGTCACTGAGGTTGATGGATCCAGGAGGCTGAGATAAAGTGACCTCTAACATTCTTTAAAGGTGCTATTTTTAGAATATTGTATAATTTATTCGTGGTATACCTAAAACAGAATTAAGGACAGTTAAAATATCTTATGTGACAGCCTTTATGTCTAGCACATTTGATGAAATCAAACACTCTGAATAGAAATACTGCTGTTTCAAGTTTGAGCCTTTGACACACTCCAGAGACGAGAGTGGTCGCTCTGTAAGGACCATGCCACCACCTCCAAAGCCTAATCCACACAAATTCTGAGTGGCAAGGCTGGGCATCTAGTACTATCCGATCTGTGATGATGCTGATGATGGGTTGCTGGCCAGGGAGAACAGCAGGTCAGGGGCTTGTCCCAACTGTAGACTCAGTGTCCATTTTTATTCCTTTCAAACATTTGAGGGCTTGACTGTGTATAGTAGAAATACTATTTTAGGCCAAAAATAATGATCTGTGTACAGATATTTGATATACTCTAAGACATTTTCTAATTTCTCTAGGTACATTTATAGGCTCAAATACTGCTATTGAAGGAAAAAAATCTGACACCACCGAGCCAAAGATGCTTTTCTTTTTGTCAGTTTTTGTTGTTTACAGAATGGAAAGAGTAAGGCACAGTGCTTCCTGGTGTCTCCTGAATGTGCACATATTAATAAGATGACAAATAATGGATGCTGATTAAAAGCAAAGAAAGATGAAGGATGATACATATCAGGAAAAGGGAAAGAAAAATGGCAGGAAAAGTCTGGTCCTTAACACATCTGGCCTAGTTAAAATATGTGCCTTTTTGGTGTTTTGTGTTCATTACTACAAGGTAAAAAGGAAACATTACAATTTAAGTCTTTAAAAAAGGTCATTTATTGAAATTCCTATGTATAACCTAGTGTATTTAAAATTAGCATATTTAAAAACAGTAACTTCAAGCCATTTCTGAGAACATATACCAGGAGTCTCCTCATCCAGGTTCAGACTTCAATTCTAGCCAGTTCCTAATGCAGGGACAAAAAAACGTAGCATGAGGACCAGCCCCAGTGCAGTCCGAGGTGGTATTACCCTGGGAAGGTGCGGTGTGTTGTGGCATATTAAGTACAAATCAGATGAATGTAAATATCTCTTTGTAAACCATTTATTTCACTCTGTTTCATCCAGGTCAGCAATCAGATTGTGGCATGCTGGGTAACTGGAAAAAATGATAATAAAAAGTAAGTTTAAATAGATCATGTTCCTCAATGTGATTTGTCTTCTCATTTGCTGGTTTAGTCACTGTTTATTACTAAATTTCTAGAGAAAAAATTTTCTATTGGTAAAAATTAGAAAGTTACATATTACCAGTTGATGAAACCTTTCCATCTTATCCTGACCACAGATCAAATCCCTTGTTGCATATGAATATAAGTTTAACAATTTTATTTTAATGTTTTCAATCTAAAAGCCACCTTTACTACAGAACATTGTGCCTCCGAATAAGGATATCTGATGTTAGGACATGTCCAGAAAGCCATCTCTCTCCCTCTCTGGTTATATTTGTGCTAAAACTGATCCCACATTACAGTGGACAAAGGATGAAAAACAGTGTGAACCAAGAGCCCCTAAGAAATTCTTGAAGCAGTACAAGCTAAATCCTTCCATTTTTAGATGCAGACAGTTTATTGCAATGTATAGAAGCATTTTTGCATGGAAACCTCCCACATGCTGGAAAAGGGAATCTGGGGTATTGTGGTCTCTTGGTTTTAAACAAGGGCATTAAACATTTCAAAACCACTTCATGTAAATTGGGTTAGAAGGAGAACCACAAAGTTAGTACTGTCACTTGCCTCTGCTGATATGGCTGTTCACATTAGTTTAAACCATACCAAGAAATAGCGTCAGAAAGCACTAAATGTAAGTTACCTTGAACAAAACAACCTTGAATCTCCACTGTGCCCTAAGTGGTGAGGTAACAACACAGTCCTGCCTCCAGGAGTGTGAAGTCCAGGTGTTCTCCAAATCCCAGTTTACACTTCAAAAGGTGCATGGTAATGCAGTGTAGGGCCATGGGCCCAGCCTGGTCTCTGTAACGGGGAACATCTCAAAGAAACAGAAGTGGACCAGCATGTCCAGAATTCAAGGGATATCTCTGTCAATCATGATTAAGTGTTGGGGATCTCCAAGTTGGGACAGTGAGATCAAAATCAGAATTTACCCAAGGGAAATATAAGAAACTCATGTCTTGCCTTTTTTTAAAAAGCAAGAAAGGTTGTGTTTACATTTCACATAGATTTCGCAATGTATGAGATGCTGATGATGACTTTTAATAAGTAGAAGGATCTCCACACAAGGCACAGGCCCATGGGCAGACAGACTTCACAGGATTTGCAGGTATGGCACAGAAGGAGGCCTCCCTCTGCCCACCAAAGTGAGCTGGTGTTATGATTGAAGCACACGCCAAGTTAGGGGGATGGGTGGTGGGCGGGTCCTCTTAGGCTTCCTGAGCCCTTCCGCTGAGGGGGCCACCAGGAGTCTACCATGCCCCAAACCCTACTATTGCAGAGGGGCTCCCTTTTCTTGGTAGCACACAGCCTGCCACAGACTCCATCTGACCATAGCTAGCCAGTGCCTCTACCTAGAGCTGATTTCCTTCCAGTGGGGCTTGAATGACCCTCCCTGCTTTGTGGCTTAGCCAAGAAAGGCAGTGCCTGGTGGCTTGGATACCTCCACACAGTGGCTTATTTCCTAACTTTACAAATTTTACAATGACTTTAAAACTAGGATAAGCATAACCCACCGGCATATTTGAAAAGAAAAATATGAATTAACTGGGTACTAAGCACACTTCACCCCATACACCCAATACAGAACATGGTAAAAACCTGAAGTAGAAGTAAAATTGTTGTAGATTTTTTTTTTTTTCAACTAAGCCCCAGAAAACTGGGATCACTTCTCATAACAAGCCTTCGTAATGCCCGTGGGCTCCAGGCACACCTAGTAATTCATCATCAGCTGATCTGTCCCCTGAAGCCACTCAGACTGCTCTGCTGAAACCGGTGGCTGCCGGCTGCCTGCTGCCTGCCATGGCTGCAAAAGGCAACAGATGTGAGGTCCTCAACAGGAGCACGCGGACATCGACCTGAACTTCTCCCCCTGGAGCAAACCGGCTGTCCCTGTCATCATGTTTTACATTTCATCTGGTTTGGTGGGAAGCCCCATATTCAGACTCACTTTCACATTATAGCACTTCCTGTTCACAGGAAGTGCCTACAGCAGGCTGGACCCCTAATAAGCCCTCTACTTTATTTGCTGAGTGAATAATTCACCTTGTCATGTCACTGTTTTATCCGCTGAAGGCGGATATCATCCTGTTTGCTGAATCCTCTGTGACACTTTTCAGTGTTCCCCCTCATCCTGCACTTGTCTGGTGCCTGCTGAGGCAGGAGTTCCTCCCACAACCAGCTTCTCTGCCCCCCTTTCTGAGGGTGCTAGTAATACATGTTTCCAGAGCTGGTTCTACTGTCCACACCATGTGATTAGGGTCTCACTGTCCTGGAGACAGGTGTGTGTGCCTGTAGGACTTGAGCTAGTCAGAACTGTGGCGTAAGCCCCCAGCCACTGTCTTCCTGTCGTCCTGCTTTTCAGCTGGCCATCAAGGCTCTTGCTGTGCCCCCCCAGGGTGTGAGGCCACATCTGCAGGGGTCTGTGGCTGCCTCTGTATCAGAGGTGAGCACCAGGGCCTTGGCAGCTGCTCTCTGAAATACTGCCTGCAGGCAATAGAAGGGCCTGTCTGCAGGCCCACCACTGCTAACCCATTCATTCGCATCTCATTTTAAATCCTCAGAGCTTCCTCTCCACACAACAGCCTGACTTCCTGCCTAATTTATTTCTTAAGTTTGACTTTAGAGTTTAAAAAGTGGGTTGCTCTGAGCGATTTGAATTGATCCCCAGGCAACCATGCTACAGGGTACCCCCCACCCCAGCCTTTTCTGTTGCTTTATTTCCAAGCTGGCCTGAAAGGGCACTGGTGGCAGCCAGGGAGGTGCTTAAGGAAGCACACCGCGCTCAGCCTTCCCTAGGCTGCCACTTGAAACTCTTCTCTGGGCTTCTCTGCCACAGCCTTTCAGCAGCCCCTCCAAAGGCAAAATCCCTGCACCCCACAACTTCTTGCTCCCTGCTTTGCACTCTATTGTTTGTACACTCTCTGTGTGACCAGGTCAAAATGGGCCTGTTCCCTATGCCTCTGGAAATTAAGCATTGATTTTTATTTTTATTTTTTAGGATTTCTAGTTGAAGATGGACAAATACCTTTATCTTATTTATTTTTATGTGGTACCAAAGATTGAACCTAATACCTCACATGAGCTACAACCCCAGCCCCTAGCCAACTGTTTTTAACTAGAGCTCCTTCTGGGCATTTCTAAGCTTGCCCTGAACTGACAGCCCCAGGGCAGCTCCAGCTCCTGCCTCTATGTGGCCAAGGGCTGGGGCTTGGGTCCTGCTGCTGCTCCAGGCTCTAGCCCTCCCCTCCTTACCCTTTGGGACACCCAACTTGGGCCATTCATCCTGTGGCCCAGGTCACTCAAGAAGAAGTTCAAAGGTTCCTTTCCCTATCCTTTCATTTCCCAGTCCCATTCACTCCATCTCTGTGGCCTTTACTCTTCTATTTGTACAAAAAGGATATTAAAATGATTTGTCTCAAAAGGCCCCTTTAAGCCTACTAATCCTGTTGTCATGGTCATCTGCTCTAAACTGAGTAACATCAAACCTCCCTCTAAAAGGGAAGCCGAGTTGTTTTTTTGTTTTGTTTTGTTTTTTGCCAGAATCAAGTGACATGGAAGCTAAACAATTTGTTTTCCTGAAGTGGTGCAGAACATACTCCTTTGAATCCAGGACTATGACCTCCAAGTCCAGACTCTACTACTGGGCTCTCCCGCCTATCCCATGCAGATTAGTGGAGGAACAGCAGAACAACCACTCTGCTGTTTATGGAATTCAGAAGGGCCAATTTGGAGGGCCACCTGGCATTAGCCAGACATGTGAGCACTAGGTGCCATCCATTTGTTGGAGAGAAAAGTGTCCTCACCCATGCTCTGCAGAATTTAGAGGAAATGCAATGCTTTATAGCAGAATGGCTCACTGCTTTACCAACCCAGGGGCACTGGGCTCTCAGGTCCCTGCAGTTCAGCCTCCATAGCACAAATAATCCTAGCACTTGCTGAGAGGTCCACGCCTCCTAGCTGGGCTCTGCAGAGCCTTTCTGGGAATCTAGCTATTGCTGGCTGCAAAACAGGGCAGGGATTCACAACAAGGTTAGCAGGGGCCTGCATCCACCCTTCCCTCACAGCCACGTGGCAGCAGCCAGAGCTCAAGGCCTATTTCCCTTGATGGTGGGTCTCCAAGAAAGGCACCAAACTGTAGGTTCCAGAGCAATCAAAAGGCAGATGCAGGAAAGACTGTCTTGCAGACAGGGCAGCACTTTCTATAAAATAGCATCTTGGGATGGACTTGGGACTTGTGGTATGACAGGCAGGCAACCCCACACAGGCCAGGGATGCCTGTGCATACACAGAAGGGGTCAGCGTTGGGGCCTGGCATCCACTGTGTCGTCCCCTTCCAGAGCACACTTCCACAGTGTGTGGGATCTGAGTTTGTCATCTTCCAGCTCTCTTGAGTCCTGTAAGTCAGGAGCACTTTCTCTGAGCACAGGCAGGTGTTTGTGTTTTATGTGAACCATGTTTCCATGGTAAATAGATTTTAAGAATTCCCAGAGGACAGACAGTGTCACCAACAGCAGAGAGTGGAGCCTCTGGCTGCCTCATGTTTGAAAGCGTTAAAAATGAAGACAACATTGACATTTGGGGTTGTAATGTGACGGAATTACAGTCTTTTAAAGGCAAGAACCACTTATCTACACTACATGTAATATTCAGTGTTTTGTTCACTTGTCTAATTGGATTAAAATATTTAGCTCCCTTTAAAATCTTGATTGTGAATTTATATTGCAAAATGTAATGTCTGACTCAGGAAGCAATAAGTGGAACAAATGCATCTGAAGCAACATAAAATTTAACTTATTTTTCTTCCATGATTATTATTCTGAAAGGATTCACTCTTGGACAAAGTGAACTGTTAACAGAAGAGCAAGCCTGACTTAAATGAAACCCTGTGTGCCTTTCAGTGTGATTTATGCTCAGTGGAAAAGACAAAGTT